AATGAAGTAACAAGGAGTCGTGTCAATGTATTCATATTGTCTATAATATCAATTGACTACAATATTTCTTGACCATGTGGCATATAATACGTTGATGCAATATAACTTCCAGATATTATGTAAGTAGCGATAATCCTATTTCGAACGTTCAAGCTCCACGTTTGATTGTAACTTATGAAAGACGATAACATACAATAATGATTCTTTAATTTGTAGTTCAGACGTTCAGATATATTTGATCTGTAAGTAATGCATCGCTCTTGTAATCGATTTATAGTCGACAGTTAACATAATTAACAGATTCATCGTGTCGCCTGATTTCTGACGAAATCCAATTACCGAGCGATTATTGGTAAATTTCAACTTGCGCTAGCCTCGAAAACCTAAATAGGGTCTTTTTTGTTGTTAATCAATTTGGCTGAAATTTACTATATACTGTATTTATTATATAAGGTAATACCTCAAACCTTATCCTCTTCCTCCTCCTCCTTCTTTCTCCTCCTCCTCCTTTCTCCTCCCCGTCGTCGTCGTCTCTCGTCTCTCGTATAATGACACGATAGCAATGGTGTTAATGAGGTACCTTAGTTACATTTCCGATTACTGAGTTCGTTCAAATGATGACGTTTCACTAAAATTTATTATTCGCCACAGTTCATTCGGTCACGTCGTAGATTGAAAGAGACGTTAAAAGAGACGTTAAAAGATGAAGAAATAAACAGTCGCACCATGCATTCACGTTAAAAAGGTACTCAGCTTTATTGGGTACATAATTCCATATCGTTTACTTATGTCCGCAGATTCATTCGAACAATGATGTTTTACTAAATCTTATTCATGTCGGTTCGGTCATTCGGTCATTAATATATTAAGTAATCTTAAAGACGTTGAAGGGAATGAGAGCCGTGCTAAAGGATATTATTCGTCCTTCTGATGGGACGTTATTTGATTCAATATCCTATTTCGGGCGTTCAACTTATAATCATCTCCAGAGATGAAACGTTTGATTGTGGCTTTTCTCGATTTATGAAAGACAACAGTAACTTATATATACAATAATATGATCCTCTTATTTGCTTCAGACATATTTGATCTGTAAGTAATTCTAATTCATCGCTCTTATAATCAATTTATAGTCGACAACGATAACTTAAGTTTAGAACTGATAATTACAATTCCTTCTTACTTATTCGTATTCTGGCATTTACTACCGTTACGGGAAACAGATCATGCCGTCTAATACCAAGTAATTCGCGCTCCTATAATCGATTTATTATTATGGAAGATAGTTGTGTTTACGCTTGTAATGATAATACTAATGACTATTTATTGTCGCTCAAGGAACCTTGAATAACATCACTGACTTTTCACCTCAAACAAAAACTTTTTACCAAATGTCCCGAATCATTGACAACTTTTCTTTCGATTCATTGGCACCATACGAATCAATCGTTGATTTTTTCTTCTGAGCCAACGTCTCATCTTTTCCCCGAATCATCTTCCCATCAATCCGACATAATTTCCCCTTCAATTAACGCGTTTATTCCTGCACGCCCCCAAGAAATTGAACATACATTTTGGCGTCCCACCGATGCTCTGATACAAATTCTATGCAAACTACACGAATCGAACTATGCTCAATTCCCTGTATTTCCTGTTCGTATTGTTCGCATCTGGGAAGCGAAAGTATACTTACACTCGAGCCTTGGTAGGTCATCAAATCCATTTGCTTATTCAGAATACCGATCACTTAAAAGACAGTTTGGATATTCGAAGTCACTATCGTATCGCTCTACTCTGGCACGTTAGGTGCATTTCTCGAAAATATAGAAACAAATCCATTCACATTATCTTTGTAAAAAATAATAAACCCCCCCCCCCCTCCCCTTCAAAAGTAAACATAATAATAATAAACGTTCACATATTTTTCACTAAAATTAATAATTATTTAATAATTATTTAATAATAAAAAAATGGGTTTTTCCTGAAGAAAAAAAGAATATTCCGTGTAAAACTGCAAATTCTCAGTTTCCCATTTCATGCTAACCTGAGTAAAAGGTGTTACTCCCAATTCACATGAAACCATTTTTCTATAATCTATTACCATCTTCCCACAAACATTCTTCAGCTCTTAACTTGATAAAACACCTATATTTGTACCTTTGCACTTATTATTATCATCTCTTCCATCAAATTCCCTCCCCCCCCCCCCACCCATTTTCTCTAATATTCAAAAATTAAGCATTATTATTATCTCACTTTTGAACACACACGTATTATCTCTTAGAAGGTAAAAATGCCGTCACAATTTACTAATTCCCACCAAGCCACTGAACTAATAAACAAAGCGTTACGCTCATGTGAATTTCCATGCAATTCTCCGACCGACACTTTATAGTCGTACAGCATATTCTGCATATAGAGTGGCCATTCATCAAATCATCGTCAATTATAACTAACACATATGAACTAATTTGACTAGCGTGTAAAAGTGTCGGACTATAACGTCACTCTATGCAAAAAAAAATCCACCTTTTTCTTGGGACAGAAAAAAAAAAAGAAAACGAAGAAGCGGAGACGAAGACAGAAGAAGACGAGGAGACAAGAAGGCGAGGAGGTACGAGACACAGAAGCATTAGACGCACATAGGGGCAAGGAGATGACTAGAATATGTAAAATGAAAAAAGGTGAGATTTCAAATTCTGAACCATTACTATCTTCCAATTCACATAAGTGCCTCACACGCATGACGCCTCGGCTATAAAAACTTTATATAAACTCTACGTACTCTGTTAACGCGCACATATACACACAACATTCACAGAATACTCACATACACACCGGTAACCTCCCCCACAGCAAGCATATTCCTCCATTTTCTCACCACCGCCGCCATAATCAAGAACATACACGCGACCGTCCGACGACGTATTCTATTAACTCCGAAACACAGAAGCTAACAATCACCATCGAAGCATATATACCCCCCTACACAACAACAGACTTCACATCAATTGGTCGCTTCCGAAAAGGCGATGTCGTTGAATTAAAAGGAAATATAACCGCAAACACTGATAATACACTAAGAGTAAGTTTTCCAATTCCTTAATAACTAGACACGCTTATACACAATCTGCCGGGCGCACATATATACAAGAACAAAAAAACTGCGTCGATGGGTCGAGGGTGTTTCTGTCTGGTGACCTTGACGCTGCAAATGGGTGCCTACTCATAAAAATCATTAACCTCGAATATATTCTCCCACAGACCTCTCCCTCCCCTCCGAAATCACTCTCCGACAACAAAACGACGCATGATTGATTATAAACACCGCCATTGCCACCACCAATTCCTCCTCGTCCTCTACTACGACCGTACTATCGATGTGGCTGATGTTACCGAGACGTCAAACCCCAACACCAGAAATAAACGAAAACAAATTGCAGCAAGGACTGCTTCTACCAATGATGTCTCCAATGACACCACTCCTCAGCAAGGTATGTTACCAAAACGACAAATTAAGTAATCTCCGACCTTGCTTCCACGAGACTCAATCTGACACCTTTCACTCTTTAATAGAATAATAATCAAATGACTCGATTACTGATTATGATCAAGAGATGATGATGCGTAAGAATAGCAATAGGAATAGGAATATTATTTCATGCATTTGTAAATCGTTCTTTTCTCTTTCATAATTACCCTAACAATACGAACTGAATGTAAAGAAACATTCAAAAATGATTGAAAAGGTATTGATAAAATAAAACGTATATAGTACCTTTGTATAAGAAGGTATATTAATCTCCAACATATTAATGTTAACGCTATTCCTCCTCAAATGAATAATATTGCATTACAACTCTGTCATCTGCTTTAAACATGCAAATGTGATGGACGGCAGATAGTCAAGTGATTCAAAATGCCCATCAATACAGCAATACCATACTCAATTTTTTTTATTATGAAAATTTCGACTTCATCTTCGCATCACGTGCGAAGCACAACTTGAACAACCTATCTAGTTTTGTTTCTTAAAAATAGGTCATTTCTCGATAAGGTACAAAGTTTGATCACAACTACCGATCACAACTAAATGGATTAACACTTTTTCGTGAGCTTATACGTGGTGCGTCTTGAGAAGTTCCGACAATGGGCTCTATCTCATCGAAAATCAAAAACAAAAGGTTGGATTTAATACACATAGTCTCAATCAAGGAATAAAAAAGAAAAAAGACGAACCTGTTTTTTATTTTTCAAAAGATGTAACCAAGCTCTATGGAGTGTTGTTCAATTCAAAGGGGTAACATGCACTAATCTATTGTCAGATTTTGGTTACATCGTGACCGTTTTTTCAAAATAAAAAAGAAATAGGTATTAGTATTTCGGCTTTCGTGGTTTATCCAAGCAATTGTTTTGATAAGGCGTAAAGAAAGAACAATTTCTCGACAATGAGTAACGGGTTCAGTCATCTTTTCCCCTTGAGACTATGTGCATCAAATCCAACTTCTGTTTTTGGATCAGGCTGATTTTCGCTGAGATAGAGCCCCGTGTCAGAACTTTTCAAGCCCATCACTTATTATGAGATTGTTTTTAGAAAATGTTCAGGGCAGATTCCCAAACGAATATCGGTACGACGTAATTTCTTTCGTATATATAAGTCATCATTTATCAATAATTTTAAAAAGGCTTTTTCGAACAATGCCTTTTGGTAAAAAGCTTAAAACCTTGCTTAATTCTACTCGTTCAAAAGGAAACAGCGCATCTACAAGAGACCACGAAGAAACGAATGATTACCAAGACGATGAATACGATCAATACAATGATAGCCAAAGGGCATCTGACGAAGACGACGAGTATGATCAATACTATGATAGCCAAAGGGCATCTGACGAAGATGATGAGTCCTACCAATACACCGTTTTTTCGGACAACCTTGATGATAACCAAAGGGCATCTGACGAAGACGACGAGGTATATGAAATAGAAAGTGAACCTACCGCCGGATTTAGAAGCCAACCTCGCGAATTCGAAGCTTTCCCTCGCAGATACAACGTTGACGACCTTTATTCCCTACAATATCAGGATCAGAACGCGTTCGCTAACCCACAAAATTATAATCGAAGCCAGGATCAGAACGCGTTCACTAACCCACAAATGCATCATCGAAGCCAGGTTCAGAACGCGTTCACTAACCCACAAATGCATCATCGAAGTCAGGATCAGAAGGCTTCTATTAGCTTACCAATCTTTTACCAAAGTCAGTAACAGAAGGCTTCTACTATCCCACAACCAATCATTTACCAAAGTCAGAATCAGAAGGCTCCTATGTTCAAACCAATCGTTAACCAAAGCCAGAATCAGAAGGTTCCTACTTTCACACCAATCGTTAACCAAAGCCAGAATCAGAAGGCTCCTACTTTTACACCAATCGTTAACCAAAGCCAGAATCAAAAGGCTCCTACTTTCACACCAATCGTTAACCAAAGCCAGAATCAAAAGGCTCCTACTTTCACACCAATCGTTAACCAAAGTCAGAATCAAAAGGCTCCTACTTTTACACCAATCGTTAACCAAAGCCAGAATCAAAAGGCTCCTACTTTTACACCAATCGCTAACCAAAGCCAGAATCAGAAGGCTCCTACTTTCATACCGATTGTTGACCAAAACCAGAATCAGAAGGCTCCTACTTTCACACCAATCGTTAACCAAAGTCAGAATCAAAAGGCTTTTAATAATCCAGGTCCATTTCGGGATAACAATAATGTCTTGCCATCTGACGATCATGGTAATTTCTCCTTCATTTATACGTTTGAAGATTGCCCTTCACTAGGAAACGACTCATAACTATTGTCTTTGAAAATTATTCTAGGGATTGATAAAGACGAACCGATAGCCTTGGCAATAACACGGTCGTTAAACGAGATAGCCTCAGTAATAATGCGGTCGCTAAGCGATATGATACCGAGGAAACCTCAGTCTCAACCGCCGCCGAATATAACGCATGCAAATCCGTTTCGAAATCAAACTCAGGATATGAACTCGTCCCCTAATCAAACTCTGGATATGAACTCGTCTCCTAATCAAACTCTGGATATGAACTCGCCGCCACCCCCATACGAAAGGTATATTTACCCAACGGAGAAATCGAATTATTTTTACCCTCAGCCATCTGGTCAGCCCCGCCCGTCAACGCGCAATCCTCCAATGATGCAAAACGGGATCAATCTCATGGGTCAGACACCTCGTGATTTCAAAATACTTTTATTAGGCGAGACTGGGGCTGGAAAATCAACAATCATCAATACAATCACGAATTACTTTTTAAGAGGTACTCCTGATAATCTGAAAATTGTTATTCCCACGAAGCATTATAAAGTCAGTGAAGGTACTGTTTTATGATTGCATAATGCCATTCTAAATTCAAAATCAACTATATATTAAGTTTGTGTATCCAATTTCAGGATTCCCCAATAGACATTCCGAAGCAAAAGTTAGCGACGAGACTAAGAGCCAAACTCAAAAATGTCAAAAATACGCTTTTCGACATCCCCAAAACCCTGCTTATAGGTTCATCTTTATCGATACACCTGGACTGAGCGATACTAATGGTACAAAACAAGATGATAAGAATATCAGCGAGATTGTTAATACGGCAATCCGTGCTGGTTCATTATCTGCTCTGGTAGTCGTTGTAAATGGAATCGAAGCAAGAATGACCAACTCGGTCAAGAACACTTTGATTCGCTTGGCGAATAACCTACCAGACGTTATGATCGATAAAAATTTGCTGCTTGTTTTAACAAAATGTTCAAAAAGCAGTGCTCTTTTCTCGATACCTTCTTTTTCGAAAGAAATTGTCAAGCCGAAGGTTGGTATATTACCAAGTAAAGATTGTTCTATTTGAAACAGTAATATTTATTATGCTTTTCTGCTTTTCTAGAAAATTTTCTATATGGACAATCGAGCTTTTTGTTCTCAAATATGGAAAAACGACTATAATGAACGCAATTTAATTCAATTTCACTGGAATGAATCTTTCCGAACAATTGATGATTTCTTACGCACGATCACTGAATTATCAAACACTTCGACCGCCGCCTTTAAACGCATGAAGGCTCTTCGAGACAAGATCAAAACAGAAATAACAAAGATATCGCAAACATTCAGCAAATCCAGGACGCTCTCGATGCTGCTCAGCAAGCATTGCAAGTAACTGGAGACCAAAAAAACTCTTTCGCCAACTATACAAAATCAGAGACTATTACGCTCAAAAAAATCGTCCCTGCCAATTACCATAGCACGGTTTGCGTTACTCATTTGAGAGAAGATATTATTTGTCATGACGGTTGTGGACTTGAGTTTACAGACACCTCTGGCACTGACTACTTTCGGCATTGTTTGTGTATAGGAAGTGATTCGATATGCACACAATGTGGATGTGGACCTGAGAGGTAAATTTCAAATTCTATGACTTCCACATTCTTATAAAATTGGAGTAATAATTCTTTTCATTTCTTTATATAGTCATGTGCACAACAAAGTAAAAATGGTTACCGAAACAAAGACTATCAATAAGGTTCTTCAAGACATGAAAGCTCAGTTCGACATGGCTGACCAAGAACATCAAAGGCTCGACCAAGACGCAAAAGGTTACCAAGCAACCCTCGCAAATCTCCAAGCTACCGCTGATAATAAATACAAACAAATCCACAAACTTTGCCACGATCTAAGTAAAGTTTGTTCTCGGTTCAACTTTGTCGATGAGCTTCATGCGAATATCGAAAATATGCGACAGGATGCGAGAGCCATGCAAAACGCTAGTATGCGAAAGAAAGCTGAAGAAGAAATTAGGAAAATTGAAAAGTTGGTGAATGATTTGTCAGCTAGGAGAAACAGAAAATAGTTCACGAAAGTTCGCATGGATTCTTCATCCATCTTGTACAAGCAAAGATAAAAAGCGTAGTATCTCAATGCGTACTGTAGGTTGTCTTTTTACACTATCAAATAACGAGAATAATGATAGCGTTGATTATTATATATAATTATAAATTAGGATAATCGACCATGCAAAGCAAGATAAACAAAATGCTTCACAGTCTATCCATGCCAGTTTTTTATCGAAGATATTACCAATTAGTCCTTTGATCCACACTATTATAATAAATATAACCCAACATTATTATTTATTAGTTTACTTGATGACTTTAAATACAAAAAAATTCTTTGAAATGTCAACGCGTCATCATATTTCAGCTGCCAGGAGAAATAATTTTTAATATGGGTTCATGAAAAACGCGACAAGTCCAGAGTGACAAGCAGTTGTGCTGTGCACATATTCCTTTAAGTATGCAATATCATTTTCATCTTTCATCTTTCCGAGATGCGTTCTGCAAAAGCGTAAACGGTAATCTTCATATTCATCCTTAGTGAAGCGCACGTCTTCTATACCCCATGTGTTCTCAGGAGGAATCGTTAACGGTGATACATCTATTGTGCGAGTTGCAGACGAACAATCCCATGCACCTTTGTAGCCATATGCAGCAAAGGCAACGATATACAAGTTACCGCCCTGCTGGCACCTCTTAAACACTTCCCAAAAAACATTGCCATTGTGATGTGCATTACTACTGGGTTGGCCTTCTACTTCTGGCACGCAAATCATCTACAAATTCGCTAATGTGAGAATCCATGTTAATTCAAAGCAAATAGATAAACTTTCATACCTGAACTTCGTCGACAATAAGTATAGTCCGAATGTGATCACATTCATCTTGAAATTGTTCCCAAGTTATGCCCATTAGTCGCTGAAACCTCTCATCGAATGTCCAGGATCCACTAGGGATGCCCATCCACAAGAGCGAAATGCGAATGACTCTAATGTTGGGATCTTTAACTAGGTGTTGGTCTAGTAGTTGACCCAATGAGGTCTTTCCAGACATGGGTGGAGATCGCACAAGTAAGACGCGTGCTTCATAGATCTTCTCGACAAGCTTTTGGATTGTCTGCACACGGAGGCAGATATCAGGGCTCGAAAGGTTGATTCCTTCGTAAGTACCGATTCGATCTCCTTCAGTTCCCATGTACTTAGTTCCACCGAGGCCTCCTATTAGGAGATGAGGTATTAGACAATTCAAAATGAAAACGATGCGGGCGTATACTGAAGCAATCATACCTCGTCGCGGTGTATATGGCAACTTTACATCTATATGATGAAGCAAATTATAGTGAGCAAACGGGATAATCTATTTGTACTTGAAATGTGCATTGACTAAATGCTTACCTTCTCCTAAGAAGGTGAGTTTGACAAGAGATAAGATGAAGAGAAGAAAGTATAAGTCAGTGAATATTGCGAACAGCACAATTATCAGTGTATAAAACTTCCTCTCTAATGAATAGATGAAAATAGTATATACGAGCAATGAATAGTATTCCTCAAAGGTGGGGAAAAAGCAGTCGCCTAGTCAGTAGTCTTGCTGTTCTTTGTGATAACATGCTAATTCTCGGACTTCTTAACATGAGAAAAGTGTGGCGGGGAAAGATTGGGTTTTTTTCTCGAAAATCACAATCGAAATTTATAATCAGTATTACTATAGTATTTAATATTTAATGATTCCTTCTTCAGTAAATTCTTCCCCATTTCCATAAATGGATCGATCTAATAAGATTAGACTATCTTTAGGATCCCGAGTAAAGAATCAATCTAGTACTAGTCAATCTCGATCTTTATCTTTCAGATTATAATTAGGAAGATCATAAGTATCATCAATTAATTCAGGTTTTTTAGCTAGCATGTCTTTACAATATTTAATGAGGTCAGGAGTTTTAATTTTAGCTCCTGGTTTATTAACTTTATCAGCTAATTCTTTAATATTAATCCCATCACTCTTAACTTTAAAATCAATATTTTGGGAATAAGCAATTCATTTTTTAGTTAAATCCCGAAACACATTAGTTTTCACTCCTAATACTAAGCCATTTTGAGATCCATTGGCAAAATTCTCCTTTCTGAGGGAACTGGACCATGTTCCCAATAGTGATCAATTTGATCTAACTCATTTTGTTCTACTGGATCTAATTGTCGACCTACTGATTCTAAAGCATCTTTAATACTTCTTAAATAAAGCTTTACCGCTTCGTCATTAAAGTATTTACCATCCTCTTTTTTTCAATTCTCTAACTGATTAGTAAAGTAAGTGCCATATTTTACTCAATTATTATATTTAGCTAGTTTTTCTTGATTAACAGTTTTTGCGGCATCTAAAGCTGCTATTTCGGCATCAAAGTGTTCTGACCCAAACGACCCAATTCGGAATAGGGTCGACCCAAATCGCGATCGGGTTTCGGGTTGGCCCAAATCGAAATAAGCTCAGAGTGATATTCATTTCGATGTTGTCACATAATTTATGCACAACGG